AAAAACCCAAAGCACTAAACCACTTCAGGTTATGCCTGCTTGGATGAGGAAGTTGGGTGTGTGGGATGACGCTCCTGGTTGGTAACCCTAAGGGTCCATGTACCCAATAATTGGGTACTTAGGGTTTTGGTAATAGTAATTACAGTACAGGTTTTGGGTAAGTATATGATTATTAAGTACTTGGACCCTTTGGGTAAGCTATACAAATTCCCGTTGTGACCCGAAGCTCACACCACCCCAGAGTGGATCCATCTCTAAGATAGTCCACCCTTGGCGTCCCAATGCCTACATGCTCGCTTCCGGAAATTACCTGGAGGCATGTCCGGCAGACTGAATCGCCCTGATTTCGGTGCCTTCGACCCTGAATACTTCAAACCCTAAACCCTAAACCCCAAACCCCCTAAACCCTAAACACAATTTCTTGACCTGCCAAGGCTCTTCCTCCATTGGAGGATAGCCTAGGCAGCTTTCGGACTCCGGAAATTCGCCGGAACTTGACTGCTCACATCCTGGGATGGGGTAGGATTCAGGGCCTTAAGCTTTAGGACGATCAAGAGTTTAGAGGTGAGGCAATGCAACTCAACTTGAGGAGGTCATGTAGACCCATGGTTAATAACCCCCTTCTTTTTAGGACCTAAGTAATTAGTAGGATGCCTATTACAATCCCTATTCAGTGGAGGGGGACTATTATCAACTTGAGGAGGTAGTATCCACCTTCACTTACGGCTTCTGCGCTCAGCTCAGGACTGTTGGTACACCTTGGGCGTCTGAAGCAAGAAGCCCATTCACAGACAAACAGCGCCCAGTCAGAAACGGCACCATGAATGCAACCTGCCGCAACCTGCCCAAAATCTCAGGATGCATGGGTAAGTGGACTGCATTACACCATTCTACCAGGCACCGCGGCCTGCTCGAAAGTGCTTCACGCGAGCCACACCAGAGTATCAACATAAGGTTTTGACGAAAAGCAGAGTTTCCAATATAACCCCAATGTACTATACTAGTTTCCATTTTCTTTTCCATTATTCCCGATATAAGCCCGATATACTATACTAGTTTCCATTCTTTTTTCCATTATTCCCAATATAACCCCAATATACTATAGTAGTTTCGATTTTCTATTATTCCCAATAGATCTCCAATATTGTAGTAGTTTCCGTTCAGTCTTCCATTATTTCCTATACAACCCAATATACTATAGTAGTTTCCATTTTCTTTTCCATTATCCCAATATAATTGACTCTAGTATTTCCCCAATGGGTAAAGCAGAAGCTGACTGCAGGGGAATAATGGAAAAGAAAATGGAAACCACCATAATATATTGGGGTTCTATTGGGAATAAAGCAAAAGAAAATGACAACTACTGTATTACATTGGGGGTCTATTGGGATACTGGAAGAGAAAAATGGAAACTACTATCATGTATTGGGCTTATATTGGGAATAATGGAAAAGAAAATGAAAACTACTAAATGGTTATATTGGGAATTATGAAGCAGAAAATGGACACTGCTATCGTATCTTGGGGTTACATATATATGTATATGAAGCCCCCAAAGCCATGGTACTGGAACACTTAAAGAAACCCTCCAAATGGAATACCAGCCACAGCACATTAGTTCGATGGCGCCCCGGGGAAGCACTTCAACATTTTCAGAAAATGCTGGCGAGTGATTTGTGATCTTCACCCTGGTGTCAGCACCGCTGACACAACTCCAACAGGATTTTACGTAACTGCTGGCAGGAAACAATGATGGCATAGAACGGCCATCCCTCATGTTCAGACCCTGAATCCGAAGACCTAAATCCTAGTCCTAGTTCAGAAGCCTCGAGTGGCAATTCAAGATCCGTGCTTCTTACGTAGACCGTGGAAACTGATGCGTGGAAAACTCCTAAGGGTACATCCCAGGTCTACCTCCAAGAGTAAGTAAGCTCTAGGCTTTTTATGTGTCAACTTTTGAAGTCTTTAGGCACTTCAGACATCGCCCTCATCTCGTACCTACATCCCTTTCTTTCAGATATTTGGAACGATATAAATAATATCTAAGGTCTAAACCATACCGGCCCTTACTCGTGGGTCCCTATAGACATACCCTGTGTTCACCTTGAACGGCCCCCTAGAATCCCCGTCATCAGGCCACTGGCCCAAACAAGGGGACCATACTTACCACCCTAGAATATGAGAAGATGAGCCGAGGCACGTGCCGGAACGCCTTTAGATGCTCTGCACGTTGCTTGCCATCCTGTCTAAAGGGTCTAACATGATCAGATGTGTTTTTGGTTTGCTCTTTTTATCTTACATAGGTAGAACCAAAACATAACTCGTATAAGCTCGGGTGTTGGTACTTCAGGCTCTGACAAAGGCGTCGGTTGGGTGGCGGGCCAAGGGATCCTGTTGCTCATAACTTCCACACGCCAAGAATCTCCGCAACCAAACACAGAATCCGAACGAGTCTCCACCCCTGCTGCCCTCATTGATTATCCCCATGGACCCAAAACACAACAACCTTCTGACCAGCCCTCCCCAGGTGAAGATCGGTCCTTCTTTCCACTGGTGGATCCTCAGGGCTACAGCCATGTTGGGATGTGTAAGTTCCTACTCAGGTAGATGAGTATAGGGCATGTACAGGTGAGTACATGGGATAGCGTCATGGATAGCGTCATGGGGAATGCTGGCAACGGGTCGTAGTATCTTTGTAACTAGTATGTTGGGTCAAGAGACAACAGCTGATTGTGAGCTTACCAGTTCATTGCGTGCGTTCCGCTTAAGACTGCACGTGTCTGCCCAAGTTCCGGGCCACGCATCGGAGAAGGCATGCGGTTCTGCTAGACTACGGAATCTCAGATCTTAGTGGAAGTTTGCCTTGAACAGCTCTTCCACACATACCAGATCTAGCAGACTAATGTCGGCCGAATGCCCAAAGGCCTATGTGTTGGCACCTTTTGGAAACTGGATTCAGCCCATGAACCTATTGACTGAGGACATAATGAGCTCTAGGCAACTCTCGGCGCAATACCAGTCCTCACAAGAAGCCTTGTGCAACATGTACTTCAGCTTAAACTGAGACAACATGATTTCAGGTGATTCTCCGTGTGTAAGCATGCCTTGGGGTTGAGGTCTGTAGGGCATGAATTGCCCAAGCAGGACGTATAGCCCCCCTGCCAAAATCCACTTGCAGCAATAATAATAGTAATAATAATAGTAATAATAATATATAGCAATAATAAGAATAATAGTAATAATAAGAATAATAGTAATCATCTGTCAAGGCTCCCATGGCTCTCAGGAGCTTGGCCATTTTGGCATCTAGCTGTTTCAGATCCTTAGCACGAAAGGCACTCGAGGGCTTAGCTGTCAGCACCTGCCTGAAAAGTCCTCATCTATGTACATGGATGGAGGGACTTTCTTAAGGGAACAGGCTCAGGATTGAATTGCGCAGGTAAACCCACGCTCAAAAGGCAATTGTGGATGAGTTTGTTTGTGGTGGGCGCAGACCAAGCTGGATACAGTTCTTCCTCCGCGAAAATTACGGAATTACGGTTACAAGGGATGCTTCTGTGAAACCACTTGCAAGTCTAACGTTGGACCTCGTGTGATTTCGCATCCTAAGAGCTGGTGAGCTTCGGGTGATGAGCTGATTAACTAACCTTCAGGATGTCTAAACCCTGAACCCTAAACCCTGAAACCCTAAACCCGAATCTATACCCCATTATACTATAGTAGTTTCCATTCTATTTTCCATTATCCTTATATAACCCCAATACAACCCCTAACCCCCTGCGCGGGACTTGGCACGGTACAAACGACGAGGCGACAGATCCGCTAGAAGGTGAAGCAGGAAAGGCTCATTGATCAGCCTTGGATAATGATAAGCCTGGTATGCCCTGAACCTCCCAAAATTCCTTAGACGGAGGCCATGGAAAGAAAGCAGGACATTATGTAAAACATGTTCAGACATAAAGCCAGATCAGGCTGCATGGAGGATCCTGTTACCTAGGCACAATATATCCCAGGCTACTAGTTCTTCAGCCCTGCGCTCTGTGTCTGGGTGTCATGACGGATTCTTCAATCTACTCAACCCCAGGTAACCAAGAGTGCCCTTAAGTTCCTGAGCAAAACAAGGGCCGCTTCGTGAAAGTCTTGCAGAGGCCAAGAATCCGCATGCATCGCAACCTGATCGATCGCTCTCGCTGGACCCTTGCACCGCATGATGCCATCTATAAACTCTTCCAGAGTGACCTGCAAAAGACAGCAGCATGCAGACTTCGACGCATGTCCACACCCCGAACGCCACCAACCAACAGACCAGGAGAGAGAGAGAGAGAGAGACCCTTCTTTATCATCTTCAATTGGAATTCAGCATGTTTAGGTGGGCGGCTTGTACCGAAAAGAACCCAGTAATTTTCGTCTTCCACCCACCTCATGGGGGGGGGTTGGCACGCCTAATCCGTGAGTTGACACACCTTAGACAGCCTCAGATGACTATTGATCTTTGCTCGTTATTCAATTCCAACCCAGTGAATATTTGGGGTTTCCAAGTGGGGCAAATGGGGGCCCCATTCTGGACCCTAAGCTCCTCTTCGGGACTCCCCCCATTTCTTTGGAGAGCCCCATGTCAGTACTTATTGCTGCAAAGCGGGTTTTTGCATCAAGGAACCCTACCGTACCGAATATTGTCTGCTGTTGCGCTCAATCATGGAACTTGCGCCGGTGGCTGCTTTGACTTACAACTCTAAACATGCCGTGGTGTTACCAAGAAACGACGTTTGACATGAATCTTGCGGCAATACTCATCAGCATGAAGCCCTCCACTGTCATTAGCTATCTGGTCATTCAATGATTTGCTATCGATCATGGGAAACAAGGCATAACGCACTCATCACAAACTACAATTGTTTAATACCATGCGGAAGCCCGTAGGGGCAAAAGTCTTCCTGGCGAGGTGGCCGCAAGGGTTCGCATCCTCAAGTTCTGGAAAGACCGTCCGACATGCTAGCTACCTACCATCTTCTTTGGGAATGTGCGGCCTCTCCGTCACCATTGTCCAAGAGGTGGAACAAAGCCGCTCCTTCATGAACATCTAGGTCCAGTGTCTGAAAATATGCCGCAATCCTTGGATAGCCGTTCATGAATGCCAGAATCGTTCAAACACCCCAGCAACTGGGTCTTGGAGCATCTAGATATTAAGTGTTTGGCATTTGTACCGTTGCGGTTGTATCAGTGCCTGACTTGTACTTCAAGTACTAGTAGGTTTGAGAAAGCCTGTCAGGCCCTGCATGAGTCTAGCAACTGTTGGGGGCAAAGGCAGCGGGAGCCCGAAATGGATTGCGTGTACACCAGGGACACAACTGTAGGCTCATTACACGATTCTGCAACTAGAAAATCTCAACTCATGATGTATATATACCCTAATATAATTTAGTAGCTTCCATTTTGTTTTTCCATTTTCCCTATATAACCCCAATAATGAACCCTAAACCCAGTCATTTACTATACACCAACGTACCTGAGACGGATGAGCACTGAGCGCCGCCTCTTTGCATCTCAAGGTTATATCGGCTCACAAACCCTAAGGGTCCATGTACCCAATAATTGGGTACTTAGGCTTTTGGTAATAGTAATTATAGTACAGGTTTTGGGTAAGTATATGATTATTAAGTACTTGGACCCTTTGGGAAACATTGAGTGCATTCAGTGTCTTCACTGAAGCCTGAGGGCCTATTGTCTTCTTTCATGAAGGCAACAAGGCCTGAGCCCACACCTTTACTCGAGAAACTCTATCGCCAACCAGCGCAGGCAGCTGCACATTGCCACATGTACACAGTCCATGACCACATGTTCTCTCTGCATTAAGCTAGGACTCGAAATGTGTACCTGTGATACCTTGAAGTTACCTTCCCTCCCAATTTCACAGAATGCACATCACGGGTCCTGCAGCCCTGCACCTCGGTAACAACATGTCCAAAGGCCTTCTGAAACAACTGTACCACAGTTTTCTAAGCAGGATAACCCCTCCAGATTGTCTCTCAGCATCTTCTGGTTGGAAAGGATCTCGTTCATTCGCGCCTCTGTGATGATGCCATCACCAGAATCATCAATAGCTTTGAAGATGATCTCTAACCTCATGCACGCGGGAGCCAACAAATAAATTTGATTTCTACAACTCCACACGGCACAAGGCTTAGAGCCTTGGTTGACGCGTGAGGTCCAATCCTGGCATGCCTTGGGCGTCTGCGCATATCATGGCCGAGAGTCATTTTTTTGAGCAAACGGAAAGTGCTGACACACCCAACCAAGCAGCGCGTGGTATTTCGCTTACAGGAAATCTGTGTGGATACCCTTGGGCAATTCCACTGGATGCTAATAACAAAGGGAAGCCACGTGACATGTAAGCATGTTCACGTTGATCTTGCTGCTGCTGCCCTTTGGTGGAGGCACTTAGTTAGATGTTGAATACGATGTTGCTGCTGCCGCCTCGGCTGCTGCTCCTTTTTTTCTCCACTGTCTCTGTTGGACAGGGAATGATAACGATGATGATGATGATGATGATGGTGATGATGATTCTTTGCGCCTGCGGGCAACTGCTGTTGTGAGACACAAGCAGCCAAATTTCTTCACCAAACGCACGAACCACCAGTAATTTTGCGGCTATAGCGCAAACATGCTGCGAGCCTTGCGCGTGTCACATCATCTATCCAAGCAGCTTTTCCACATACTCGGCTTTTTTCCTGAGTTCCGGGGATCTCACAGGAAATTGTACAACAGCAGCTAATCATAACAGCAGGGTAGATTGGCTTTCATGAGCATCAACGCTGCTACCAGCTAACAACAACCCCTTTGCAAGGAACGCGGCTACAAAGCTGAGAGTCGAATGAGGCTGGTTTTACCCCAAAATATCTTGATCCCTACCAATTACTTCAAACTCAAAAAAAACGAGGCTTGCCAATGCTTGCATCCTTTTGAAAATCTAATCCTTGCATAATAACTCACAGCATCCCCGTGAAGGCCGCATTAAAATCACACACCCTACTTGAAGGTTCATACCCTATTTATAACCCCCCTAAATAGCCTTATAGGGGTTACCCCAATTATAAGTAGGGTTAAAACCCCAGTTATAAATAGTTACTAAGTCCCATGAACCTCCAAGTACACACCCGCAGTCCCAGCTTCCGGAGTCTGTCCACCACCATGTGTTCAGCGTCATTCTGCGCTGCGTCCAAGGTATCTTTCAAAAACACAGCGCTGATCACGCGTATCACCGCAAAGGCGATAACCGTTATATATAAAACGAAGAACACCTGAGTTCAGGCTGACAGGCTTCCAGTGGTCAAGACTCCTTTCATCTCCAAACGAAAACAAAACAACATATGCTCTTTCCCCCAACCAAAGGATTTTTATCTTGAAATGTCAAACGACATTTAAAGGTGAGAAACTATTTCGAAGGAAACCCAACGGAGACGGACACAACTTGCGTGGCACAATGCTCTTTAGGAGGTGATGCTTACTAATCAAAATCTGGCTGCGAGGCTTACTTCCTGAAAATTCATCTCGCGTGCTTTAGTGTCTTCCCACCCTCGAACGGCCCCTAAGTCCAAAGCACTGGGTCAAGGATTTACGGCATTTTACATCATTGGGTGTGGGCAGGGGGTCTGTTCGGTCTGGTTGGCATCCCGGTAGGGGTGAGTGCAACATATATGGGGACGGGCATGACGGGTGATCTAGGACAGTGCGTTGGCATGAAGCAGGTTTGCTCCCAATCAAGAAAACACTATGAGTTTTCTGCGAGGCTACGTCACAGGCACCTGCTTGGGCCTATGACGTTGAACGTGGATGGTCGGTGGGCATGACGTTGGATGGTCAGGCTAGACAGGTGCGCGACTAGAGAGGGCTGCCTGCCGAGAGCCGTGGTTGGATCTGGTAACAATGCGCCTGTCCATGATGATTGCTGGGACAATTCCCACATGATTTTACTTGCATTCAAACCGGGTGCCCTGCAGCTGGGCAGCCACAGAAGGTGCCTGGCAGAAGTCTGAGTCAGGGCAGGGCCAGTGAGAGTCCACGGGCTCAAGGTCTCTCCTGCAAAGCCACTATTGCTGAGCGGCCAGGCGGGAGCACCGACCCCCACAGACTTGGGGCCGCGAAGTCGCAAAACAAAAGCCCTGGATGTGTGGACATGAGGACACCAGCCTGGTGTGACGGGAACCCCACCTCTTCGAAGAAAACAATAAACCATGCCGTTTGGGTGGATGAAAGGGTGGATCGGGACCCCCTGCACCATCTCAGGGAGCCTCCGCAAACATCACAGGTAATCCTCCCTCGAAGGCTCAAGGTCCCTTAGGGGCCAACTCACCGGTGCCCACGCAGACGCTGAAGCGCACAGTATCGGCTGCAAAGCCACCGTATCAGTCGCGCCACTAAACAAGATCAGACACTTGACTACAAAACTACAAGGCACATCAAAGATTCATTCAGGTTTTCGGAAAGTGTGTTGCTGTGCCAAGCTCTCCAACTACGAAAGCCTCACTCGTAAACCTTAAGCGATTCCAAACAAACAACAGCTTGACAAGAATGCTTACAAGGCATGATCCCTAGATCTTATTATCCCCGACAACACCAGAACTCTAAACCCAGAAAATCAGCTGAAAGAAATCCTAAGCCACGACATAGGCATGGCTGACTCTTTCCAGGACTGGCCGTGAGTTCGTGGGCCAGTTCCTTGGTTACAGGGAGTCTTAGGTTTAGGGCTTGTGGCTTGGACCCAGGTTTGCAGGAAATTTAAGAAACAGTTATAGTGGGTTAATGGCTTTGAAGTTTAAGGAACAAGTAAGTCACCTGGCAAGAAGGCCGATGGGGATCAGCACTTATTCTAACAGGAGTTTACAGCAGCTTATTATCTCGTCAGGGTCCTGCAAACAGAGATATCAATACCCCGAACCTGTGCAAAACACCTTGGTGGTAGACAGCCTTGCTGAGGGAATCTACAGTCATCACTCCATTTCATGAAGCCCCTGAATTCCCTGGGTATACAAATAATACCTACGTTGGGCCCTAAAGTTTGTGAACATTACCTACATGGGCCTAGTTGGATCCCTTGGGATTCTTGAAGGGTTCAGACCTGCGACATACGCATCATAAAGCCCCAAGAAGAGGAGTTTGCAGACTCACACGTCCTTACCGAAAAGCAAGATCCATAACCTTGCGTGTCCCTGGAAGCCCAGTCAAGCGTGAACAGTTTACGTCAACACTGCTCATAATCCAAACGGCCTGTCACCTTCTCACACGTGACTGGGCCACCAGGGTGCAATCAAGCCGAGCAACCCCGCAAATGTGATCTCGTATAGTGTGTACATGGCTCTGTACGCCGTGCCGTACTTCAACCAAATCACTTCCTCAGTGGCAGCTTCTTTTCACGTTCACATCCTCTTCTGGAGTGGTCATGCTTCTTTTTTACGCTCGTCTCTGCGGATTTCAGGATGCTCTAACAGATCGCAGGAATCGTTGAGATCCCAAGGTGTTGCAACAGGGGAGTAGAACTGAACCAGCGTAGACCAAAGCAAGTAAAACAAACAATTGCTGTACCATCATGCGCGTATCTAAGTGTCGATGCCCAAACCGGTACGGCAGAACGTCACAGTCTTTGGATCTATGGTTTGCTCTAACGGTGCGAAGAATGAAGACAATCCGATGCTGTGATCTTTATCAATCAACATCCAATATCACGCAAGACCTAGGAACAGGGTCTCACAAACGGTAGCAAAGATGTGCAAAGATACCGGGGGGAGTACAGGGCTCCTCCTTTGCTTCTGAAAGCTGGGCCCCCCAAAGCGGGCCTGTAGCAGCTCCAAAGAACCAGCTCTCCAGTACCAAAAATGCTGCGCGCAGACCTAGAACACTATACTATATAGGTTTATATAGGGGTAATATTGGGGCTATATAGGTGTAATGGAAAAGAAAATGGAAACTACTATCCAAAATCTGTATACCCTATAACCCCTATATACTATAGTAGTTTCCATTTTATTTTCCATTATCTCTATATAACCCCTATCCAAAATCGCAAGTTCAACAACCTTGTGACTTGGACGGCTTCTGGCCACCAAGTGGCCTTGTCCTCAAAGCTGGCGGCTTCATCTTGGAGAAAACTTTGCAAAAGGTTCCTGGGCCGTATGTAATATGGTGGTTTCCATCTTCATTTTCCATTATCCCCATATAACCCCAATATACTCTACAGCAGTTTCCATTTTCTTCTCCATTCTCCCAATATAACCCAGGGTGGGCATGACTTTCTACGATGTAGCCGCACATCACAGTGATGGGTTCAACAGCTGAAGAGGTGGAAACCCTCTTCGTCTCAAGGCATGGGGTAGCCCATGTATCATAGTATATTCTAGTATTTCAGAATATACTATCGCATATCACAGTGCATTATAGTATATCAGCATATGTTATATGATCATATATCATTGTATATATTTTTGGAATAGATGAAGGTACCCAAGCTGAAGGTAGCATCTCACAGCAACAGGAAGGAAATTCCCCTATATAGATTTGAGCGAAGCCTGTCTCCAATGCAATAGGATCTGCAGCCCCTGCAGATCCTGCCAAGGCACCCCATGATCAACGCGCCCATTGTCATGAACCTCAGGCTCAGAATTTCCAGTTTGCCACGTCAGGTATTAGCAGCTTCTTGGAAAAAAAGAGAAGCAGAGGCTACGGCACCTGATCAATCTACCCTTATGTACAAGGGAAGGCTTGTGAAGAATGTAGCAAATAGTGGCAACTTTACTATACCATATATAATCCGTATAACCCGTATATATAACCCCAATATATTATTGCCTTTGTCAGCCGGCCGGGGCCCCATTGTTACAAGGAGGAGACCCCTCACCTCGAGAGCTTCTTGATGCACGGATGTAGCGGGTATCCCCTCCTGGACTAGAGGTCAGTATGAATTCTAGTAGTTTCCATGTTCTTTTCCATTATCCCTAAATAACCCCAATATTACCCCTATATAACCCTGTACAATATAGTAGCTTCCATTTTCTTTTCGAGTATCCCGATATTCCCGTAAGATTTCTGGACTAACCATGCCATCAGGGTGCATGGATCCTTGGTGTTGCT